AGAGAAGTATGTTTTTTCACATTTTCTTACAAAGTTTTCCATTTTTAGGTCCCTTGCGACACTTATGCCAAAAAAATTTTGTGATAAAATCGATACTTCTCTTCAACTTACGAACATGGCATAAGTGAGAAATACGTCGCTGTACACATTATTTTTTTGAAAAGGAAAATTGAATTTTCACAAAGGTGTCCCGCAGTCCATCTTTTAAATTTAGTTTATTGTACTTATCTCTCGGTTACCTGTCAGTACTCTCAGAGGCATAAACGAGAAAGACGTCGTCGAACTTCAGTCTAATATCTCCCGGTCTATAATGGGAAAGAATACAACATGAAATTAATGTTATGAGAGGTAATGCACAATTATTGGATAAAATTCACTTGTAATATTATTTTAATGTGATCACAAATATCAATTTAGGTTTATTTAAAATGTTAATGTTGACTTTCTTGCATTATTAGTTGATATTGTTTATGTTAAAATATTAGTGTTGATTTTTATTTCGTTGATTAATAATACTAATACTAAAAATGTGTGGTTATTTTTTTTAATGTGACGTTTTTTCATTATTTTTCCCTGCTTTGAGGCTGCAGTTATAAATTATTTTTTACAACTCGGAACTTTTGCCTATATTTAATGTCTAAAAAATGCGAATTTTACTNTTATTTTTTTTAATGTGACGTTTTTTCATTATTTTTCCCTGCTTTGAGGCTGCAGTTATAAATTATTTTTTACAAATCGGAACTTTTGCCTATATTTAATGTCTAAAAAATGCGAATTTTACTCGAAATCCATAAACAATATCAAAATTTTGTAATAGCAAAAAAATCTTTTAAAATAGTGCTTATTTTTAAAAATATAAATTCTGACATCATTGGCGAACACAAAAAAAAGTTACGGGATAGCCAGTGGCGCACAGGCACTAGAAAGAGAACATCCTGTATATGTATTCTCACCAAATTCTATATTTATATTGCCCTTATATAAAAAAGTAAGTGTACCAAATTTGAAGTTTCTAAGAAAAATAGTTTTCAAATTGTTTGAAAAAAAAACTACGTTATCTGTTCTATATTTAGAAGGCTATATCTCAGTAGGCGTGCACTTTTGGATATACATAAGTTAGGCTAGAAACCTGTGGTCCATCCTTTTCAGGGACACCCTGTATATCAAAGCTGTACAAAATACTGGGCAGCTCTAGAATCTGGTTATAAGTAAAACTAATGGGTCGAATTTGCGTTTCTCTGTAAATTCATAGATCAATCCACTCACGTTGTGTTCCTGGTGTTGGTTGTTCCTCATGATGGATACGATGATGTTGTGTATGAAGTAGCTGAGGGACAGCATGCCCGTCAGAGCGCAAAAGCTCGGCTTCAAGTAGAATTCTGCCGTCAAATTTGGCAAGTTCACGCCCCAGTTGGAGGCTTTTACAGCTACGAACAGCAACAGATAACCCACGCTGATGGTACCTAAGAAAAACACGCTGTTAATCTCAGTGTTACTTGCGCGTGGCGGAGATCTCACCTAGGCTGTTAAATTTCGTGAAAAAAGTCGGGCTCTTAAAGTTGAGGAGGGGGAACATCACTACGGCTAAGAAAATGGGGACCGTCGTGTATAAATTCCACACTTTGTCGAAGGTGGTGTTGGCGTTGAAGTGGTTGAAGCTTTGCGGGAGGATGACAGTGTCGTTCAGGCTTAGGTTTATCTGTTTGGGGCATAAGACGGGGTTTTCTTCGATCATCGCGTTGTCCATGAAGACACCTAAAATTTCATGAGTTCCGGAGCTGTTAATTTGCGCTGAGTGTCCCACCAGGAATCGCCACAGTCTATATCTCGGAAAGTACTGATCCGATAAATCCGAAAATTTGAAGTTGACATTAACTTTCATATTTTCGGATTCTACGTGTAATTCGAGGGTCACTTTATTAAATATTCCTTGTGATGGAGTAAAATAAGATTTTGACTTAGGAAAAATTAGCAGATTGGGTAACTTCTGAGGACACTTGTGAGGGTGTTAGAAAGAACATATAAAAAGTTACCAACCGTAGAGTGTACGCGTGATTATTAAATTAAAATTTTCTACAAAATTAAAGATTTTTTTAATTTTTAAGATAAAAATCTAAAACTTTCAGAGATTACTCTTGAAATAGCATTTAAAATAGTGAGTAATACAAAAAAAAATCTTAAAATTTTAATTCGAAAAATACAGTGCTCGAAATATTCAATAATTTTTTAAAAAGACAAATTTGATTTTTTAGGTCACGTTTCAAAGTCCAATAACTTTAGTTGAAAATATATAACTTTACAGGAGCATTTTTTAAAGCTTGAAAACTGTACTTTAAGATGGTCCATTTTGTTTTATTAATTTGTAAAAAAAATGTTTTTGTTTGTTTAACCAATATATTTTCAAAATATGATTTTAAAAAAGTATAATCGATGAAAAAAAAAATATTTTTTTACTATAATATATAAAATACGAAACAATACGGTTTTTCAATAAATTGTCGCGAGATTCAGTTTTACCTATATTTTTTCATGATGAAATTATGTAGTAGAAGTTTATCTGGTGATCTGGCGTCCCTCTAAAAATTTCGTCCGAAGATTCCAGCATATCAAACCGCATCTTTCTAGGTCGAGAAATGACAAAGTTACGGGCTGTTTGCCAATTCAAAAAGTCACGTGACTGAAAACGTGATCTAACAAAGCCCCTCCATAACTTTTTAGCCGTTGAAAATATCGAAAAACTAACTCTGGCGTCCATCTAGAATTTCGTCCGAAGATTCCAGCAAACCAAACCGCATCTTTCTAGGTCGAGAAATGACAAAGTTACAGGCTGTTCGTCAATTCAAAAAGTCACGTGACTGAAAACGTGACCTAACAAAGCCCCTCCATAACTTTTTAGCCGTTGAAAATATCGAAAAACTAACTCTAGCGACGGTAATGTAATTCATTCTCGTGGTTCGAGAATATACAGAACATCTGCTCCAAGTGCAGGCGTGGTTTGATAAAAAATTGCAAGCAGAAGACTGGGGTTGGAAACGAGAGGATTGGAGGCATGTTGGATCAGCCATTTTGAATTTTCATTTTCTGATATAATATTTTTGTTCAGAAACCTCAAAAACCCCTATAATGTAAATTTAACTAAATTTGCTTTGTAACTTTTGAATAAATTTGTTAAAAAGTCGGACATAGTGGATCAGCCATTTTAAATTTCTATTTTCTGATACAATATTCTTGTTCAGCGACTTCGAAAAACCCCTATAATATCAATTTGATTAAAATTGCTTTGAAAATTGCTATTTTTAATAAATTCTTTAAAATAAGTCGGCCATATTGGATCAGCCATGTTGAATTTTTATTTTTTAACATTATATTTTTTTTCAGTGACCTCGAAAACCCCTATAGTATGAATTTGATAAAAATTCGTTTGAAATTTTTTGATTTATTTAAAATAATCTTTGAAAAACCATTTTTTATTGTTTAAACGATTAAATAATAATTAGCGTACAAATATAAGTTTATAACTTTTTTCTATAAGCCATTTGAAGGCGATTGCAAAATGTTTTATGAAAATCCAAGGCTCTGCTAATTATTCCGAAATAATGCATATTTTTAAGCTACCTTTACTCCACTACTATATCTATAGTCCAATTAAATCGCAATTTTGGTCAATTTGCCTAAATTTTTGATATAAGTTAGTTTGAGGTATATAACAACAATAAGTGACAGTAATTTCAACCCCTGGCCAGGGATGAAAAAAGATAAAATAAAGGGATTTTCAAGATAACTCAAAAGGGGTAAGATCTGGAAAAAGAAGTTTTTTATAAAAGTTGTAGAGCATAGAATTTTACATAAAAATGGTCTATTGACTTTTTCTTATAGTATTAAAATTAACAGGGTTAGGGAGACTAGAAGTTAAGGGATGGTTTCAGAAATTATTTAAAAAATCATAACCGGTAGGAAATTATTGAATTTCATATATTTTTTTTCAATCTACTCTAAAAAATGTAAACTATATCTTTTCAGAGACATAGATAAGCAGAAAAATGAATGAATTTTATATATATTTTTTCAATCTACTCAGGGAAATAGATATATTTTTAAATTTTTAATAAAAAAGTTATAACAATTTCACAAAGTGAACGTGATTTTTTATCTTTGTCGTAAAATAAAATTTCGAAAGCAACTTGTCATTATTTTAAATAATCAATCGAAAAGAAATCAATAGAAAAAAATTGTTTTGGTGTTAAATCATAAAAATTAACTATTAAAAAATTGAAATTGTTATAATAACCTTTTTATTAAAAATTAAAAAATATATCTATTTCTCCGAAAAGAAATTTTACATTTTTTAGAGTTGATTGAAAAAAATAAAAATTATAAAATTCATTCATTTTTCTGCTTGTTTAGATTTTTTTAATTTCTGAAATCATGCCTCAACTCCTAGCTACTGTAACTCTGTTAATTTTAATAGTACAAGAAAAAGTCAATAGACCCATTTTTATGTAGAATTTTATGCTCTACAACTTTTATAAGAAACTTTTTTTTCTAGTTCTACCCATTTTGAGTTATCTTGAAAAAAACCCTTTAATTTATCCTTGTCCACCCCTGGCCTGGGATTGAAAAAAAAATTACTATCACTTATTGTTATTATATACCTCAAACCAACTTATATCAAAAAATTGGACACTAGATTTTGATAGGTACCTATTAATTTTTAAAGGAAAAATTTCTCTTCAGGACCATGATATCAAGTGGATTTTTGGTACCTGTAAAGGTCATAGGTAACACTAAATTATGGCATACCAACAAATTAAAACATTTAATGCTAGGTGTTTAATTTTTGCTGTTAAATTTTGAGTACTTCAAACGGCTATAACTTTGTTAACTTAAATGGAACACCCTGAATTTTTGTACTCTGTCGTATGCATATTGAAATTTCCTTTTAAGCCATATAAGCATTGTTAGGGATAGAAATATTTGCAGTTTTCTATTTTTTTTGGTAGTTTTTCTCGTATCGGACCTGTTATCAAATTGGCCATGACCAGAAACACTCCAAAAACAATTGAAATTACTTGACATTTGTCATTCTTCAAGTTAGTTGTCAAATTATTGTTGTGCCTGTAATAGATTTTACCGAAAATTTAAATAAAAACGAAATACGTGAAGCCAATTAGTGGATAATCTTAAAAGCTGACGATGTGTAAAGTTTAAGAATTAAAAAATACTTGTTGTTTATGATGGAAATACGGAAATAGCTTTAAGTAGGAAGTTTCTTCAGTCGTAAATCCTCACCAATAATAAAGTCATATATGAGACAAATGTCAAGAGATTTTAATTATTGCCTTTGGAGTGTTTCTGGTCATGGCCAATTTGATAACAAGTTTGATACGAGTAAAACTGTCTAAAAAATAGAAAATTGCAAATATCTCTAAAAGTAGTAAGGCAACCCTAACAATGCTTATATGGCTTGAAAGGAAATTTCAATCTGCATACGACAGAGTAAAAAATCAGGGTTTTCCATATAAATTAACAAAGTTATAGCTGTTTGAATTTATGAAAATTAACAGCAAAATTGAACCACCTAGTGTTAAATGTTTTAATTTATTGGTTTAACATAATTTAACGTTACCTATGCCCTTTATAGGCACCAAAAATCCCCTTGCTATCACGATCCTGAAAAGAATTACTGGTATCTCCGCAAACCCTTGCATCTGTCAAATTTTTTCTTTAAAAATGAATATCTTAAAATCTATAACTCCTAGGTATAGGAAATATTTAATAAAGTGACCCTCAAATTTCACGTAGAATCCGAAAACGCAATAATATATAGGGTGTCCCACTTAAAATAAGAAAATTAATGTCGACTTCCGGTATAACCGGAAGTGCCATAAAGTTCTAAATATTTTAGCTATGTTGGTCCTATTGCCTCTGCTAGGTTGCCAAATTTTCAGATTTATAGGATCAGTACTTTCCGAGTTATCGATAGTGGCCATCCCTAGTGAGACACCCTGTATTACGAAAAACAAACTTTAGGAGATATTTTAAAAAGTCAAGCAAATTTTTCTCGATTCTGTGATGAAAATGTTATATTCTTTTACTTACCGTAAATGAAAACCACGGAATTGTACAGAAAATTAGACATCAGAATCCAATACACAATATTAGCCCCTATGAGGACCACCAACGAGAAGATTTTGGCCAAGACTTCGGCCCACTTTCCGATTAACATCCTGCAGAGGTCGGGTACCTCGATGTTCTGCCCTAACATGCCTGAAAAAATCAAATTTTCGTACCTCCCTCGTACTCCTCGAGCGCTAAAAACACCTTACCGTGCTTTTGATTGACGCTGAGCAGGACGTACGCCGTGTACAGACAAAGAGCGGCTATGAGGACGTTAATCAGTATTCCCGGAAAGAGTCCTGTCTTCTCCAGACCCCAGGACATGGCCAGAAGGGAAGAACCCATGGTGGTGTTCCAAACAGCGAAGCTGCAAGAAGAACAGCGTGTGTGATTTAGAACTTGCGACACTGCCAATTTATTTGTAACGAGCGTTCAAATAAAAACGTGGTCGAAGTTGGCTCTGACACATTGGAGGTATAGGGAGTAGCTTATAGCGACCAACTTAACCTCATTTCTCAACGAGCTGTATAGCAGCTGTCAGTTTCAATAACATTAATTACTATATAACTTTATTTTAAAGAATAATCTTGATAACAATAACAAACAATTAAAGGAGCTGCGGAAAGTGTCCCCCTCCTTGTTATAACAATAAATTAAAGCAGCTGCTGAAAGTGTCCCCCTCCTTGTTCCAAGCACTTTTCACACCTGTTCCTCAAAGAATTAAAGACATTTTCTAAGATGCTCGGGGTATTGTTAATTTCACGAATCTTGTCTATAAGTCGAGCCTGCAGATGGTTTAAATCAGGAATAGGCAGTTCAAAAATAGTGTTTTTAAGGTAAGGCCACAAAAAGAAATCACACGGCGTAATATCACATGACCTCGGTGGAAATTCATGTTCAGCATTGAGACTTATTAGTCGATTTTGGAAAACTTCCCTCAACATATTCATCGTCTCGCCTGCCGTATGTGCCCTTGCGCCATCTTGTTGAAAGTAAAAGTTTGTAATTTCGTTTTCTTCCAGCTGGTTAACAAAAGGAGCGATAATTTCTTCTCTATACCTTTGCGCAGTAAGAGTACCATTAAAAAAAATAGGTCCATAAATCCTCCTTCGATTGAGAGCACACCAAACTCCAATTTTTTGAGCGTGTAGAGGGCCCTCGACAAAACAGTTATCTGGTTTTTCAGAAGTCCACATTCTCATATTCTGTGAGTTTACGTAACCACTTAAATGAAACCAGGCTTCATTAGAAAAAAAGGTGATATTATGAAGTTCACCGTAGTTGTTTAAAAACCATTCACAAAATACAGCCCGTCGCGGAAAATCAACTTCATGAAGTTCTTGCTGACAAGTTAAACGATAGGAGAACAAACGCAAATCTTTTTTTAACACTGTGTGGCAGGTACCGACTGATACTCCCACCATTTGTGATAAAACACGTACAGAAGTTCTTGGCGCATTTTCCATTATTTGTTGGACATTTTCTTTTAATTCTTCAGTCCGCTTTTTAGGTCGGCCGCTTCCTTCTTTTCTTGTTACACTGCCCGTTTCACGAAAAACATTAACACAACGCTGAACTGCACTTTGAAAAATTTTGTACTCAACAACGCCGGGAAATTGATTTTGAAATTCTATGAAACATTCCTTCCATATTCCATCAATCTTGCGTCCATTTCTAAAGTAGGACTCTATGATAAACACTTTTTGTTCTTGAGAAAACACCATTTTAAACGCTTTTTAAAACGAAAATATTCAAATTGATAGCGGCGATATAGCGCTTTGACAGATGACGTTTAAGTTCATTTGCTATACGCTACGCCCTACGTCCAAATTTTCAGAACCAACATGACAACGTTTTTATTTGAACGCTCGTTATTTAATTGTTGACTAAATGGCCACAAAAGTTAAAAGAATATATTTTTCTTTTGAGAACAAGTTTTATTTTTGTTCTGCTGTGATTTTAAATACTGAAGTTCAATTAACCACATGTGAATTAAGCCATATGAGTGATTAGCCACGCGCTCATTTAGCCGCATGTTCATTTAGCCACGGGTGGCTAAGTGCACATGGCTTTCCTAATAATATGTCCAGTAACCCCCATAGCGGCGCCCCTGCATTTTAATAAACAAATAACAAATAAGTCTGTAGCCTATCAATTTTTATTTCTCTTCGAACTAGGTATTACAAAAATATAAATCAGACACTGCATCGAAGTACAATAACAATTTCTTCATAAGTTTCGTAACAAAAAAACTGTATCAACGCATTTTAATTATTCTCCATATAATCAAATTAAAACGAATAATCCTGAAACAACATCGTTCTTTTATCTCCTATTTCTTCACAAATTATTTTTGTTTGTAAAAACGAAGACCCTTTATCTGACCCTTGATAAAAATGTCTGTTTTCATTTTCAACAAGTATCGAAAGCTTATCGGCTTGGATGACGTCTCGTGGAATGCCATGTGTGAATAATGGGAGTTTTCCTGGACAAATATTGTAATTAGACTTGATGCAACTGCATGCTGCATACTTTGCCTTATCGCTTAAAACAAGTCAAATACAGGCTGATCATTGTTTAAAGCTTAATAGTTTATTAATAAATAGGTCACCAAAATAAGCTTAATGAAGTAACAAATTTAATAAACATACATACCAGTGATGAGCAACTTAAAATTAAGAGGGAGGCAAGGAATTTAGGTTTAATTCTGGATTCCAATCTGATATAGGCTATATGTAAATCATATGTTGAAACAATCCTATTGTAATTTAACATTGTTATATAGTAATAGACATACTTTAAATAAAGATACCTACCAAGATAATGCTATGTGAAACATTGGTTCTATCTCAACTTAATTATTGTGATATAATCAGTGTATAGATAGTTCCGATAGTAACAGAATACAAAAAGTGCAAAATGATTGTTAGCGACTATAGTTAGTAATGACTAATGACTAATTACAGTCACTAAAATTTTGATATAAAGTTAATTAGAGCTTGAAATATTACTAAGAATGTATGCGTTATTTATGAGACATCCATCAATAAGTTTTGACAAAAGCCTACTTTGAGAAAAGTCACTTATTTTATACACCGTAATTAGTCCGGTCAAAATGGACAATTCAAATAACAAAAATTCGGACAGAGCTAAATTTTGGTGGAGACCTTGGGTACACCATTAGAAACAAAGTGTCAAAAGTCCCCATCGATCCCATGTGTGCTAAAAAAGTTATTCGGGGTCAAAGGTCAAAATTTGAGGTTTTTTTGGATTTTTTTCGAAAACGGTAAGTTTTATCAAAAGAGTAGCCCTGACAAAAATTATAGATCTTAAAATTATCTACAAAAATGGTCCTTATAACTTTTTTTGTAAGAATCACCATTCCTGAGGTATCGCGATTCTAATAGTTGAAGGAGTCACATTCTACATGATATGCACACATTTCTACACCACCTGTGAGGTAGTGTACTTTGACGCGTTTTTTTAACGTGTTTTCCCCGGTAGGCCTACTCCACGAACTGTGATGACGGAATTTTCAGTGACAATACTCTTTTAACTGTATGATGATTATTGATATTGATATTGGTTATTGACTTTAATTGTAGTTCTGATTTCTTTTGATATTTTAATCTAATTCATACTCTTTAAAGTCGACTTCAACAGTCATGTCTTCTTCGATTTCTTCTTCTTCTTCTTCTTCCTCTTCTTCTTGCTGGATGTTTATAAATTGTTAAAATGAAGATGAATCAGCTGTCTCTTCATCGAAATCACATGAATCTTCATCTGTTGTATTCAATTGGACATTTGAGCCAGACTGGCTTTGGCAATTAGTACACGCTGGAGAACACAGTAACCCTACTTTTCTGCAGCCACATTTAGCACTACGACCTTTTTTGCAATTGCAAAAAATACTGTTTAGGAGTTTTCCCGGAGCAGGTGGAAGTAAAGTTTGAATGGGTTCCAGAGTATTATCTGTTAATTTCCAACCCGTCTTCTGGTTCAGTTGATTGTCTAGCCATGTCTGACAACTTGATAGTATACTCGATACAAGTGTTGATTAGCAGATGTTGGAGGAACACAAGATAGTTGTACTTGGTTCTTGTTTCGTGTATTTTTTACAGAAGTTAAATACGAGCGTTCAAATAAAAAAGTGGTCGAAGTTGGCTCTGACACATTTGACGTAGGGAGTAGCTTATAGCGACCAACTTAACCTCATTTCTCAACGAGCTGTATAGCAGCTGTCAGTTTCAATAACGTTAATGACTATATAACTTTATTTTAAAGAATAATCGTGATAACAATAACAAACAATTAAAGNAACACCATTTTAAACGCTTTTTAAAACGAAAATATTCAAATTGATAGCGGCGATATAGCGCTTTGACAGATGACGTTTAAGTTCATTTTCTATACGCTATGCCCTACGTCCAAATTTTCAGAACCAACTTGACCACGTTTTTATTTGAACGCTCCTTATATTTATCTATACAATCAATTTTGTTTGGAGCTCCTTAACAGCAAGGAGAAAGCGAATTCCTTTTGTGATTATTGTTTGAGGTGAAGAATCAATTTCTGTAAACACATTAGCGCAATCAGTCAAATCTTTTTTTCCAAATAATTTTAATACTAAAATTTTACTCCTTCTGAACACTGCTGATGTAGTATCGCAGCCGGTTAATAAGATATGGTTTTGGCATTTTGGATAAGCAGATAAACTTTTTGAAGAATATATTCTGTTCGCTGTTGAGCCTTTCCAGGTTTTAAAAAGTACACAATTTTATCAATTGGAGTCTTTGCAGTGAGTAGTATTAATAAGTCAACATCTTCCCCAACTACAATAGTTGTATTTGTTGCATTAAATTGTTCTATTGCTGTTTCAATTATAAGGACATCTGCGTCATTTTGACTAAGGGACTGAGTTTCTTTTGAGTCTATATTCTCAGCATAGTATAGTTTATACATATAAGAGACACAAATAGGCATTTTTACTTGCATTAAGTGCCTGATTATGAATATACGTTGCATATATGTGCATATCATGTAGAAGATGACTCCTTCAACTTTTAGAATCGCGATATCTCACGAATGGTGGTTCTTAGAAAAAAATGTATAAGGACCATTTTTGTAGATAATTTGCAGACGTATAATTTTTGTCAGAACTACTTTTTTGATAAAATTTACTGTTTTCGAAAAAAATTCAAAAAACCTCAAAATTTGACCTTTGACCCCGAATAACTTTTTTAGCACATATGAGATCGGTGGGGACTGTTGACACTTTATTTCTAATGGTGTACCCAAGGTCTCCACCAAAATTTAGCTCTGTCGGAATTTTCGTTATTTGACCACTATTTTTATTATTAATTTGACCGGACTAAATATTGTAAGAGTTCAATTGAAAGCATTTTTTTCTCGAAAACTGTCCACATTACGAAGTTCTAACAAATAAAATAAAATTGTACATTAGACATTGGAACCCGAATGGTAAAAAGCTTAACCTTAAAAAAATTAGAACTTAAAATGTAATAGGAATGTAGAGTAACTAGCGCCCTCTATGAAATATCCAAAAAATAATTAGACCAGCGTATTTGGCATCATCAAAAACTTTAGCCCTTAGCTTTAATCTACAATTTTTATACCTCTCTGTATTAAAAATAATTTTATATGCTGGTTTATCGTAATAGACATATTACGATGCTTTGATTTAGTACCAAAAAGGCTGTTCAGCATTGTACTTATTAATCGGTCAGTTTTTTTAGGGGCAATAGTATGTGTTCAGTTCTACGGTTACAAAACTAAACCACGAATGATACGCACGAAATTAAAACTATTGTACGTCGTATAACTGTTTCTGTATTTAAAATGCCATTGCTTCCGAAAGTGACAAATTTATGTGTAATTTTTTTGTACTGATAAGAAAGTCCTTGGTTTATTTACAAATATAGGCCAAATTTCTGTATCTCCGAGATAAGTGTTAAGAATACAGAAAAAAAAAATCACGAAGATTTCAAGTGTTTTCTTTTCTTTTAACTTTAGCCCCAACGTTTTGGCATTTCGATGCAAAGTAAATGAAAAAAGAAAAAAATGTAACAACAACGCAATTTCCTACACTATACAGGGTGTACAAGAACTAAAGTTACAAAGGAAGAATTGCAAGACAAAAATATTCAAATATTTGTTGACAAAAAGACGGCAAAGACGGTGGGGGCCCTGACCTGCACAATCCGACTGTTGTGGTTCCGCTTGCGTTCGTCTTTAAACAAAAGAGGGTCACGTTTCCAAGGCCCATGCCATTGAATGACGCGTTTTTTTTCTGTAAACAAGACCTCCTAGATTAGTCGGAAAACGGCAGTGACCTTTAGCCAGATAATAAGGCTCTTTTGTCCTCGTATCAGCAAAAAACGTATTTGAAAATCTGATGAAACTCGCGTGGGTATTGAATCATGGCACTTGCGATGAGTAAACAAACGGGTGTTATATCATTTCAGAGATATAAAGTGCAACTATTCTAAAAATACTCCGTTCTAGATATTCGTGGCATGGGATCGAAAATATGTTTGCTTTTTTGTTTTTTTTGGCGGCTCTTTATCTGCGTTTGGTTTTCCTTTGGAATTTTTGTTAAATTAGGTCTTCTTAAAGGTCAGACCCCGGTTTGTTGTTTTTAATTTCGATATTTATTGGAATATATTTAATCACTTGTTACTAAATTGTTATTAAACAATTGTTAATCTAATCTAAAGTATTGGTATATAATAATATTATTTGTATACATTTATTAGCACTTTTCTTAATAAAATTTTATTTTTCTCACAATCAGACAGTGATACTTTGAATTCTTTGTCAGTTACAAAACTTTTTCAACTAACAAATCGAACGATTATTAAAAAAAGTGCAACAGTTTCATCTTACTTGTGAATATTATTGTATTTCTTGATTAAATAATAGGTAGAACTTACATCGTGACTACAGAGTTGTGAGTATGCTGTTTTTCCTTTCCAAAACCTGTTACTGCGTCTCCCAAGATATCTTTTTCTATAGACACCTACAAAAAATACATTTTTTATCCAATTTTTATTTTTTTTTGTGTATAAATGCTATTAGTGCTTCGAATTTACCAAAATGTTAATTTATACAGTTGAGAAATTTTTAATGTAACACTCCGTAGAGTCCCAAAATAAAACTAATTCGAAAGATCCGTAAAAACTAACAGTGTCATCAATAAACATTAAAATACCTGTGAGGCGACAGTCGTTTGCGATTTAGATTGCTCCATCTTAGAACCACACCACCGTCCAGTGAATACCGATTTATTAAACTTAATTTATATACGTAAAAGGTTTAATAGCCTTTGAATAGACGCGCAACGTCATTGGGAAATCAAGTAAAAACTGACTGCTCTACCTCAGAAAAGGGCAAAGAAGGCCCGGTTTGACCGGGTTGATTTTTATTTTTTGGATTCCTAAAGTAACTGTAATTTAATACAGCGATCATCGAGGCATGTGGCATGTGTAGTGTTCTCTGGCCTCTGATGTATCATATTAAGTATCACGAACAACACATATACAGGGTGTTTTCAAAAGATGCAGCGGTGACTCCACAGCTAAAAATAACACGTTATGCATAAAAATGACATTGGCAAAATATTCACTCCTTAGGAGATACAGAGGGGGTTGAAATAAGGAGTTTGGCAAGAATTGAATATTCAAAAACACGTATCCGATAGCCTGGTAAGGCCAGAAATTCTTTGCTTGTCTAAAATATACTACCGTTTCCCTTCCACGTGAGGCGGTTAAAATAACGTGATTTAGGAGGAAACTGAGGCCGGCTCAAACAAAGCTGCTTATAGTTTCTGTCTTTGAGTTCACGGTTAATGCACGCGTCGCATAGTACGCGGGTAGTGTCTGATGCCGGTGTGAGGGATAGTACAAAGGCTTTAAGGATAAGGACAAGGCAGGTATTAATTTAAAGTAAATAAAAAAACAACTTCTTTACAACAAAACAAAATAAGACTAAATTTAACGTAATTTAATAGATACTTATTATATTATTAAATACCTACATAGGTATTAATAATAATGAAACTATCTCACAATATTGTTTTATCTNATTTGTTTAAATAGAAAAGTTAGCTAATAAAAGTTTTTTACTCACGAGACGAGAGATGTCTTGTATTATGTTCCTTTAGACAATTTTACAATAATCAAGCGGATAGGACTTGTTTCGAGTAAAAATTTAATTTGCTTGGTCTAATAAGTAAATTTGCTTCAAAAGACGGACGAATAAACCTGTTTTATAAAAACATGCACTATGTTTTTAAAATATTTTGTTAAAGGTGGAGGCAAACGAAAAGCTCTTGGCGTTGTTTTATATGTAAAGAGATAAGTTGGCTGGCTACCTTATGAAAATTTGTTTTTATATTTTTTCATATTTTTTAATATTCATAAACCAAGTCGGAACAATTTTGTTAATTATTAGGTAAATATATCACTTTGTTTTTTTCTGTTACTTAATTTTATTGTAAATACAATTTTTAAAGATCTGATATTATTATTAATAATATAATTTTTTAATTACGATTATAGTAGGGCTATTGGCGAAGATATCCATGATAAAAAATGACGTTTTATGAAGAAGAAATTGACGTACTCAGAGTTTTTACAAATCGTACAGTTTTCCCGATATTACATAAACATAGTTTATTTTTAATAGTACCATTTGTGCCACTTCTTTTGAAAACACTCTGTATAGTATTTATGTAAGTTGTAACAAGTTACTTACTGCTGCATTGTAAAACACTAAATATTTCTTAGTAAGTCGTAAATTTTAAATTTCCATGAAACTAGTAAATATTACATATATTGATTTACCAATTGACTTTATATTGCCAACAAATCTGCCCTTAATTACGGTCATCAGTCACATTCTTCGTCCATGACGTCTAAAGACGGAAAATATGCCTAACGAAACCTATTTTTAAAAATGAGTTCCTGATATGGTGTTCGAATTCCGTAGACATTACGTCCTTATCGCATTCGCTGCTTATTTCGGCTCTGATGCAATTGTTTTTAAGGATTTGTATTCGATATGGGTTGTCTCGGTTTGTCAGTGGCATCAACAGCTAGACTATTTGCGTGAAAAATTAAAAATAACAAAAGTAATGTGTCCGGGTCCGGAACAGTAGGCAGTGACTCATTCTCGACATGTAGATTCTTGAGCATATTCCTTGAGCGTATCATTTTAGAGAGTTTCAAAAATTATTATCAATAAATTGGTATATCCAAGAAGTAGATAGGTACTTTTTTTGTACTAAGGTAAGTATTTAACAANAAAGTTATATAGTCATTAACGTTATTGAAACTGACAGCTGCTATACAGCTCGTTGAGAAATGAGGTTAAGTTGGTCGCTATAAGCTACTCCCTACGTCCAATGTGTCAGAGCCAACTTCGACCACGTTTTTATTTGAACGCTCGTTATTTCCCCTTAATTAAGTATCTACTCGTTTTGGGAATTTATATGATTATTTTTTTTTGCTTTAATAGATTCCTTAAAATTTCCCGAATATGCAGACAAATTTCCCGAAAAATCATTTGGATGTTCATTACAAATGTATCCAAACGTTTTTGAAATAGATAGGTTGAAAAACGAACTTATATTTTGTACAGAGACGAACAATTTCGTAATTTAGAAGTTCAAAAAACGATAGAAATATTATACAAGGAATTTAAAATGGCATTTTCGGCATTATACAAATTGTTTTGTCCAGTTTTAACAATTCCTACAGCAAGTGTCTCGGTAGAAAGAAACTTTCTGTATCTTAAGCGCATTAAGCCTTAGAAATACGAAGATACAGGNTTTCGGCATTATACAAATTGTTTTGTCCAGTTTTAACAATTCCTACAGCAAGTGTCTCGGTAGAAAGAAACTTTCTGTATCTTAAGCGCATTAAGCCTTAGAAATACGAAGATACAGGACCGCTTAAACAACTTATCAGTGATGACGATAGAAAAACAACTACATATTGCAAAGTCTTAGTGCCGATCCTCAATTTTATAAAGACATTATATACACCAGGAAAATTAGCCAAAATAAAAGAGAAACTCGAAAAAAGTCCTATCCGCTAGATTATTGTAAAATTGTCTAAAGGAACATAATACAAGACATCTCTCGTCTCGTGAGTAAAAAACTTTTATTAGCTAACTTTTCTATTTAAACAAATAAGTGAGGAAAACAGTTTTTTCACTTTGCAGGGAAAACCATCAATTTTAGCGAAAAGCTTTTCTTTAAA